TAGTAGTAGTAGAAGTAGTACTAGTATCATGTCTTTGTTTCTGTAACAAAACAATGAAAGTAATAATCAATAATACGTCTCATAATCCTAACAATAGCAACAAGAGCAATAAGCGCGACAACAACATCAGCAACAACAACAACAACACCAGCAGCAATATCAACAGCCACGGCAGCGGTAACGACCGAAAGAACAAACAGTGAATATCACAGTGGCTGTGGGGTTCCGTTCATAGATGATTGGGTTGTCCGCGCATCTCATGCAGCGTTCCGACACATGCTGACAGTGGCGAGGAAAAAGCGCCTCAAGATTCTCTGAATGTCTCTCGTCCAGTTTTCTGGCTGAGCACACTTTATCCAGAGACTTGGAGAGATTTCTAGACTCCAGACAGTCTGCTGTGTGCTCTCAAGTCTGAAGACGTCGTTGCTCAAAATGTCCACACAGCTTCTGCGTTGCATGGCTTCAGCGAATCGAAGTGAAATCTGTGTCAGGCTTATGACCCACAGTGCTTTGTTCGCGTGGTACGGAAGGTGAGGAGTACGAGATGAGGCATCTCCAGGCCACGAGTCAGGAGGTCTTGTTGGGGAGCACTAGTTTACATAGCTCTCGACATTTGCCGTTTGCTGCTTGCTGCATAGCAATCTGCCAGCCGGACTAAGGGCAAAGAGAATTTGCTTGGCTGGTTTCGGAAGCATGTTTGGCGCCGACAGGCAAATTGTCTGCGCGGGCGTTGGATTTGAGGCTGCGACGGCCCCAATGATTGTGCATCCTTGGCAGCAGGGAAGTGTTGCAGCCCGACCATGGCCACATCCGACACTGTCTTGGAGCTGCGCTGAGCAAGTTTCTGGGTCTGGAAAGGCTCCTTGCCGACCGGCCTCAAAGGTCCAGGACTGCGCCGAGATCTAGCAAAATGTGCTGCTGCAGTGTCAGCACACCTGATCCTGCACGATACACACGGCCACGTGCAAAGGAACTGGAAATCGGCTACTCAGACTGCTGCAGGATGTCGACGCTAATGCCCTCGACATGGTGTCTCTCGACATGGACACTCCCTGTGTTTGTCTGCAACAGGCGTGTGATGGATCAAGCCCTTGGGACATAAATGAAACATGATTCTGACCATAAGATCTCTCATTTGCTCACGGAACTTTGCTGCACGGTGGCTGGTGTCTCTGTGGGACAATGTGGGACCGCTGTGTGAGGTATCTTGAATGAAAGCACCTTGCAGAGCTTTCAGAAACGGCACCTGCAGAGGCGACGAGAGCTACAAATCCTTTACCTTCTGCCCTTGGCATAAGCGGCAGTGCAGCTACAACATTTGCAACGCAAACCCTTTCGGACATCGGACAAGACAGTGCCAGTTTCGGCACTGACAAGCATAGCATAGGGGTGCACTGCATCGAAGACGGAAAGTCACGCTGAATGGCGAGAAAGCTTGGAAAAAGAAGGTCAGTTGGGTAGCCTGTGGTCTTGTTAAGAACATCACAGGAGCGTTATCCTGTCTGAGCTGTTCGCGGGGTGCTCTTCATCAGAAGTGAAACGGAGCGCGCTCACAGCTTGCTTTGAATAATCTGTGTTATCTGAAATTTGCAAGACTTGTGCAGAATGCAAGAGCTGCGGTTCTGCAAAAGAGCCGTCCAGCCAGTCTAGCCGTTTCGGGGTTGCGATGCGGTATGCCCTCTGGGGAAATCAAGCGACCAGTCTCTTCGAGTGGCCGCTCTCGGTCGATGCATGCACTGGAAGATTCTGCCGCAGCTTCTGATTCCATCAATTGCTGTCCTCCCGCACTCCCTGAGTTTGCCCACGGCCAGCAAGGGGGTCTGCTACTCCACCTCTTTGCACACGGACGCTTCAGAAGCCTAGTGCTGGTGGAGTCGCTCCAGTCTCCACATGTAGCCTGGAGACATGCCCCTCTCTGCTACGCTCGGCACTCGTACTCAAAGAGACTATGCCGTGCCTCGACATCTCCTGCAGCGAGAGTACCAGGCTGGACAGGCCTTGGCCGCTCAAGTTGCAGTACTTGCAGTGTGAACGCAACATGGATTCGTAGAAAAGATCAGATTGAGTCAACTAAACCTTGCCTGCAAGCGACCTTGCAGCTTTGGAGCAGCATGCCGAAACAGGAACACGATGTTGCCTGCAAAAGGCATTCCGAATCAGTCCGACGCACGAACGGCAACGCTGTTCCAGATCTGCAGGGCGTCTGGGAAAGGGGCTGAGCACTGAATGCGCGTCTGCCGCCGACATTTCCAGGGCAGTCGTGAGTGTTACAGCCTATGAGCAGGATGCCTTCCGCAGCTTACCAGACAGTGCTCCCGAACGTCTAAGAACTCAGCTAAGTCGTGGGCACTGAAGCAGCCGCTGTTTCGAAGCTGGGAGAAAACATCGGACAACAGGCACAGTGGTGGCAGTGCCTGTCGAAATGCAGCGGGGAGACTGAGTCTGCCCCATCCCCATGGCGCCTTCTCGAGCAGAGAGAGACTGTCTGCATCCCTCAAACTTTGTTTCGGGATGCGCAGGCCACCTGGGTAGTTCCAAGATGACACCCCTTTTTCCCTCTCAGCGCAGGCCTGAGCCAAGCACGGCGAGTCTGTCTAGCGGGCCCGTTCGAAGTATCTTCTCCACTTGCCTTGCACTTCGCCACAGGTCTGGCAGGCCATGATGGTGCCTGAGATCAACAGCTCTTGACAGAGTCGGGACAAGGATCGAAGTTCTCAGACACGGAGCAGTAATCGGAACCTCGGTCTCGACAGCCTCGGGCTTTCGAAGCCTCGGAGAACTTTCAATCTCAGAAGCGCCAACACGAGCGAGAACGTTCGCAGCTTGGCGCAGCGGCAGTGCAGACAGGTCATAGACCTTGGCCTCAGGAATACCTCTAAAGAATTTGTTGCGACAATTTGAGGCCACCGGTGCAGAAAGTCTAAATGTCTGAATTTTTGCGACAAGCAAGACGCCCCACGGCGCACGTTCCTTGCCGGCATGGCGCATCCTTGCTTCGACAGCTGAAGGGAAAGGCACACCGCGCTAGAAGCACCCTGTTGAACGGTATACCTAATGACATAGTGGTCACTGGTGCTGAGCTTTATACCACGATGAAGACATCTTTGCCATTTGCCTGGGCAAAACGGGGCAAGGCCGGCGCTTTGTCCTGATGAGCACAGTGTGAGGTATGTGGTGTTTAGTCTTGCCCTGCAAAGTTCGTAAATGGCTCTCCCACGTGGGAATTTCTGAGCGTGACACGGTAGGAAGCCTTTCTGTCCATGTTCGTACCTGCGACGATCTTGAGGATGTGCATCAGTTCACACACAAAGTTTACCATTAGGATGCATCGACTTGCCTGAAGGTGCTTGGAAAATAAAAACATCTTTCGCTATCCTTGTTGAGCAGGTGACGTATTGGTCGTATGATAGGATTTATTTCGAAACCTTTCGACATGGATGCCATCAAGCCGACCTTCGGATTGATACGAGGCCGGATGCGAGTGGCTGTTGTTGATCAATCATGATGAGTTTTGCCTCAGAAAAGATGCGCATGGTCAGTAAGCAAGGAGGCATGGCCACTGCAAAGGATGGGATTACGCGGGCATATCGGCACGAGCGCGTTTCTGTGTTCGTGTGCGTGTGTTTGTGTCAAGCCGAAAAACGCGTTTTTTAGGATTAGGGTTCTGGGATGGGGTTGTGAGACTCGAGGCCAGGGTGTGAGTACCGTAGATCTTCCTTGTGGTGTACATCGTGCTCTAGACGCTCTAGAAGGCTCTTAGGTCCGAATCTTCCGCATTACCCTCGAGTCACTAACACCCCTTCTCCTATGACCGCTCAGCATTACCGGTTGACCGATCAACCCCGCGTTCTTCCCCGATCCCGACTATCTTCCACCTAGCAGGCCTAACATGCCTGATGCGGGTTGGAAAGATTCAACAGATTTCAAGACAAACGAGAGCAGCACCAGCAGCAAGTAACTAAGTGCTGGGCACAACTGCACAACTGTATTCACACATGAGAAAAACTTGCAGTCCGTGCAAGTGACTCGACGCAGAGGATCGCAGAGGGCTCACGAGCGGAGCTTCGATCGCAAATGGGCAATTTCGTCTCTCAGAGCCAGCTCCTCCGACATCACAGACGCTGTCCAAAGCACGTCACTTTTGCAATCCATGCCGGAGTAGCCCGCTCTTGAACCCATTGAAAACTTGCAGTGGCATCCTGCATGCGCATTCTGGCGCCACACTCCAAGACACAAGAACTAGGCGGACGCACCAGGTTCGCATGTACTTGCAGTGCAACTCAAAAAAGAAACTCGACATGCGGAAAGGGTGCTGTGGAGACTGGTTCAAGTCCATCCTCACAATGCGCATCCAAGCATTCGCTTTGGTCACTTTGACCTCCAAATCCAGGCAGCTGTCTGGGATCTTTGGAGTCTTTGGAGCTGCAGCGGCGTTGAGATGCTCACGGAGGATGTGCACATCCGGATGCACCTGGGACCTGACATGGACTTATTGTCCGGGCCACGGTTCATGGGGGATGGATCAAGTGCTCAGGCGCTTGCGACGCAAATTCCTTCTCCTGAACAGCACTGAAAATCGGCCCAAGGCCCAGGGATCTGTCAACTTGCCGGGCGCCAGGCCTCCAACGCCTCTGAGGCACATGGGACAGAAACCAGCTTTCTTTCGTCTCACGGTGTTCTTGCACGCAAAGCCTGCCTTTGCCATTTTAACTTCGTTTCCCGAAGACACCAGACATTCATGGTCGTGCTTGCATCTCGTAAAACCGCTTCGCCGATCTCCAAGCCTTTCTCCTTGAAGTTGGCGGCAGAGCCGCCGGGACATGGGCTGGGACCACCAGCTGTCGACTCATGAACCCCAAAGCTTCAAGCTTACCTTCGTCTGCCGAAGCTTTGCATGCTTCTGCAGAGCATGCAGCGAGGAGCCACGATCTCAGCCTTTTGAGACTTGAACGCCTCGCCCCCAACCCACCCCGCCCCCCCGCACCACCCCGCCAGGGTTTGAATAATCGCTGTCCTTTTATGTGCAAGTTGCTTGGAGCCTGAACTTGTTTTCTCTGTGGGCGTCCTCTAGTGTGGGGTGACTTTGGCTTTGTTATACTTTGTTCAACTAATCCTGCCTTCTCCCAGTGAGCGCGAGTGAGTTTGAGTCCCCGCTCCCGGGGTGACAGTCACGAGGGTCGCGACCGCGTTGGCTGTTGGCATGTTCGAGACGTCGAGACCTTTATCATCTGCAGCATTAGCAGCATCTCCATAGTTTCACTCTATGGCATTCCCGTGCGTCCGCACGGTCCAGGTCCAAAAGCATCAACTGTCTGTCTCGCGGATCCCACCTCCCAAGACACCCCATCCTTGTGGCGGTTACCACGTCGCTAGCATCTTGCGGCATCTAGTGCCAAACAAAACAACTGTCACGAGGATTGCCCCTCCGAGCACCTCTATCCGTGCTCTAAGTGCAGCACACAGCGAACTAGCTCCCTCGTGCTCACCCGTCCACTGTAAGGAGCCTTGGTGCACATCGAACGTCGGCCAGCCAACACTTGGCACTCCGTGGCTAAGCGATGCGAACGAAAAGTTCAGTCCGAACGGTACGCCTCACGGGCGGGAAGGGTGAGTAACGGAAAAACATCTAAGCCTCAGGCCTGTCGCTGCGGGTTAAGGAGCTCATAAGGAACACAGTCTGATTACACGCACACACTTCGCATACTTGCCGTGTGAACCAGAAGTAACGGGACCAAGGTTTCATAGATTACACATAACTGCACTGAAAGTGCAAATCATCCAACAGCACGCCTTGTTCTGAGCTTCGACCTGCCAGTGGCGAATGTTCCAAGGTGTAACTTGACATGCTCCGGATCCAAGGGCTCCGAAGGCCGAAGATCACAGAAACGTGGCAAGGCAAGTTGAAGGCAAGCTCCCAGGCACCTGTTTTTTCAAGATGCGCACCTTCTCTGCCAATCCCCTGCACAGTCGATGATTTCAATTCCTGATCCGTCCTGCCTGCTGCACATCCGGTCCTGACAGTGTTTCCGACCTGGTGGAAGGTGTCTTTCAAGTCCTCGAACTTGTTTAAATCTTTTGGCAACAGATGCGATTGCAAAGTGTTGTGAGGATGCTTCTGGGTCCTTCTCGACCCTGCGTAGGATCAAGGATATCTCTGATGCGTGTCTGGCCCGTTCATGTGAAAGAACCTGTGCACCAGTTGCATCTGGATGTGATCAGTCCAATGGATGGCACCTGGTTCATGGCGGCATGCATTCGTGAGATTTGATGAACCTTAGCAGGCGGCTTGCGATAGAACGTACCATCATCGATATGGGTTTGTATGCCACAGTGCGCGAGACATTGTTACATGGAGACTACGGCTCCTCGCGTCGAGACGGAGGGCAGGCTGGAGAGGTCTAATGAGCCTCCCCGGCCCTCGCCCCCCCGGCCACGACTGTATGCGGAGTCTGACGTGGCCTCTTGGAACCTAGCACTTCAGCGGGTATCTTAGCGACGTGTGCTCTTTCGGGAACTTGTGACTTCGCGACGCGATTCTTTTTGCGTTAACTTTGCTCACATTGCCGCCGGACAGTGCATCTCGGCTACGGATTCAATATAGTATGATTCAATGAATGTGCTGCGAACAGCAACTTCGCAATCTGAGCTGAGAAGCCATGCAGTCGCTGGCGGCAGACCTCGTTGCCTCACGTCTCGTCGAGTGCCACACGAGCCAAGATGCGACCGCTAAGGGCCTCCAGGCCCTGCTCCCAGTTTGCACTCTCCTGCGGTTTGGGGGGCGTGAAACTCGAAAGGCACCCGTACAGTGGTCATCTGAAGTTGGAACCCGCTAGATTCTGTGGCTATCGATCTACATCCGGCTCGCAGCCCGGGGATATCCCGCCGTGCACTCACGGCAAGCGTGGTGTGTTTTGCTTGCTGCCTGTGCAGCTATCGTCTTAAGCGTGAGAGAGGCAGTCTAAAAAACGATTTGCTTTGGCTAGCCTTGGGCAGGGATGTGTCGGTGGGGGGACGGCAGCAGGCAATGAAGTACTCTCATTCTTTGTTTCATGCATGGCCTGACTCGCCGTCAATGCGCATTGACGGCTGTTGCTGCAAGATCTGCTGTTGACAGCGTCATCACTGTTGCTGGAACTCTTAGTATTGAAACCAAGCCTTGCAGCTTCGTCCTCACTGAACGATCCGGAATAAACAACATACACCCCGCTTGGCTAAGCAGCAATGCAAGTACGGTTAGCACTCAATACAGATGGACTTGCACACATCGCCACACAAACAGACACAAACAAACACAGCAACTAAAGACATACCAGAGAGACAAGCATGAACATGGCCTTGCATGGCCTCAAACTTCTCAATCTTCGCTCCTGGGCCCTTGTGAATAGTATTTTGTGTCTGAGAAAGCTGTGTTTGTAGCAAAAGCTCTTGCCTTATGAGTGAAGACTCGTAGCTTATCGCAGCGGTTGCAAACAAGTGTGTACAAAAAGTCACTGGGACATGAAAACTTCACATGATGCTTGTTGGGTCCCGATTCAGAAGAAATGATCGCTATTACTGCGTCTCGGTCTTCCTTCCTTCTTGATTTTCCTCCTTCCTCCCTTTGATCTTTTCTCCTTCCCTCCGTCCTTGCCACGGTTTCTGGCGTTCCTCGTTGTTTCGAAACAAAGACTAGGAAAAACACAAGGAAACCACAGCCAAAACGTCCCAAAACATCTCCAAACAACGAAAACCTAGGCAACACCAAGCAAGGAACATGCAGTATGCACAAAAGAAAAGACCCCACCCACTCACCGCACACACAAAAAGTAACACGAGTGGCAGCATGCGGCAGCCTTAGCATTTAGTGAATTTAGTGCATGTAGAGTGGCGGAAGGTGCAGAACTGCGCGCTGTGGACCAAAGCTGGCTCGAAAGATCCTGCCCAGTGAGACCGGCAATGAACCTCACCCCACTCAAACCAAGCAACAAAAGCAATTGGCAGGTCCTGATGGCCGGACAAGGCATCTCCACATGAATTCCTTGACGGCTTCCAGCTCCTGCCGACAACTTTTCATCACAGCATTCACAAGGCAACCCGGCTGACCTGGTGCATCAAGTTAACCCCTTTTCTACAAGAAGATTCGGTGTACCGAGTCAGACTTAGCGTCGCTTACAAAGTGCATGAAGATTGCTCCTAGTTTCATTGGCTTTCTGTCGCCAATTCCTGGAGGTCTTGTCGGATGAAGTGGTAGTTACCCGGTTAACCGCACTACCACTACATGCACGCTTTCGCATCTGAGTCTGAGGAAGCGGTCAACATGTTGTGTACTTCCATGATTTGGTGAGTAGGAGACGAGGGCGGTCCATGTCCAGCTGGATAAAATGCCAGACTAGGGCAAGGCCCAGGAGTAGCGAGCTGTTGTGATTGATAGACAGTGTGAATCACTTGATGGTGAAAAGCACTTTTGGACACAGCTCTGAGGTGCTGCGTGCAGATCGTTTGCAAATCGGTCCTTCGGTTCCACACTTCCGGCATCGACAGCATTTTCGTTGGCGTTTCCATCGCGACTTCGGTCACTACATCCTTGTTGACATGTAGATTCATGTGGGTATGTATATGTGTATACGTGTATATTTACACATATATCTTGCAAGACCTTGAATCCTCCCTGCTACAGGCTTTGAACTTTGCGTTTGCATCATGTTGCATCATTATTGCAACAATGGTTCAGCTCAAGTTAGGCACATAGGCAGAACCCCCTATCTGCCGGCCAGATGAGCTTTGACGACTCAAATGCCTTCAGAGCCTCGCAAACAGGGGCACTCTCGGTCCATCTCGGTCCGATTATCTTCGGATTTTCGACATTGCCGGATGTTGCGGCAGGCAGTGATGCTGGGCGCTCTCACGTTAAACGCTTTGGCGAAAGCGTGGCTGATCACCACCGTGCCGGCACTATATGGCACTATGCAAGATGGCTCTTGAGTCATTCGAGCAACTGCCTCACATGTGAGGGCACCATGCCCGGAGGCTGTCTTGCAACAAATTCGCGCAACTGCGCTTTCCAATCAGGATGCTGCACCAAAACGTCCTGCGCACGTGCGCTGCAACGTGTCAAGCGATCGCAAACGGACTGCCACTGTGCTTTCGGTCCTCCAGCTGAGAGAGTGGCAGCATGGACAGCACTCTCGCAGCTCCAGTCGACTGGCTCGCGAACGTGTGCTGCAGCACAATCATGAAGCCTCTCCTCGGCTATGACAAGCTGGCTTCCGCAAAGATGGGAGTCACGAGTGTTGCAAGACAAGTCACCACATCCTCTCATCGCCCCAAACCTCTTGTCGAACAAGTCGAGGAAGAATTTCCACAACGACAAAATCTGAGAGACGCGGAAGCTCTTTGACCTTGAACATCAAACCAAGTTCCGCATAGCTGACAGAGCAACCCTCATGCAAAGGATGGGTGTCTGGCAACTTGAATCACAGTGCGCATGAAGAGTTGCGGAAGCGGCCCAGGCTCTTCAACAAGTGACTGAATAACAATTCCGTAGACTTTGGGGTCAAACTGGTCCTGTTCACAAAATCACAGGCTATGTTGAGTCCAACCAATGTCATCAACGTCTCAGCTCGACTGCTCAATGCCAGTCCCGCATGCCAAATACGATGTTGAGCGCTTGCATAGAGGACTGGATAGGTACCTGCAGTGTTGTTGCTCAGACTCAGACGACCATGCCGCACTAGCTAAGCATTCGAATCGGCAAACACCAAGTGAACTGGCGAGACACACTGTTTTCACCTGGACTGTTAATGTGATGAAGCTCGGTGAGTAGCTCCGTCACCTTGGCAGCGTTTCTGAGTCGATCTAGTAGCATCAAGCAGTCTAGCGCATGAGGCCTGAGATCATCCAAGGGCTCGGCACTGAGTGGGGGTGAGCGCGCGCCAATAACAAGCCGGAAAGCATCAGTGACAAGGTCGGCCTCCAATTGCAGCACCTTGCTGCCACGCTGCCATGCACTCACTATGACACTGCCATCGCAGAGGCATCCTGTGACATCTTGTGAGCTTGCAGCTTGCGCTACAGCATTGCGCGTGGCAGATTCAACATGTGGCCTAAGAGCGACGTTGTGCCTGCTTCCAAGACAGGTTGGGCAGCAAACAAACGCAAAACAAGATCCTGCAATGTGGGATATATAGATGCCCGATGGACGTGACTGCCGGGGCACTAACTGGTCGCACTGCTTGTCAGCAAGAAGGCCGTTGCTCAGTGCCCTTCGTGCAGAAGCAACCCCCGTTCACTGCACATTTAAGCATCCGGCCGAAGGAAGGAAGTCCAGCAAGGTGTTTCCTCACACTCTCGTACAGGCTTTGTGTATCTCAACTTTGCAAGCACCGGTCGCTTGACCTTCGCCATCGCCAGTGCAAAACAAGACACTTTCACTTTGCCCTGCCCCTACGAGTGCTGTACCTCCCACATGGTTTCGCTAGGACCGCTAGGAGTGAATTTGCAGTGTGTGGCTGCCGGCTAGACATGAACCCAGCTGGTCGAGTCCCTCTCAAACCACATCAAACCACCATGGGCATGCGCGGGTTGGAACCAGTTGGAAGATTTTTGCGCCAAGTCCGCATGCGGGAAGTCAATCTTTGGCTGCATGCTACTGCAGCTGCATTTCCGCTTCATTTCGGATTGTTACATTGTTCTTCTGCGCCCCTCAGCTGTGCGCAGTCACGCCCAATGCTGCGCCACTCTGTGGCTTCAAGATTCAAGAACCACTGCGCAAATCTTGACGCCGGGTTTGAGCTCTTTCTAAGAAGCCATGTTCCATGGCTGCCATGCTTGTCGTACTAGTCGTACGTACCCTTCGGGATGATTCGAGACGTGGAGCTTATGCTAATTGCACGCAGTTCTCACACAAAGTGCTGCGAAGTGAAAGCTTGTTCCGCTTGCCGGAGGCAGAGAAGTCTAAAGGCCGTAACCTTCAACGATGATTGACCGACATAGTCTGCTTCGGCGAACAAGACATGGAAAGATCCCCTGAATCGTTGCCGCGCCCCATCTCTTGATATGTTTGCTGTCTTGACGTAGCTGATCAAGCGCATGGTCCCGGTCCGAGCGGTAGCTGGAGACTTGTCCCTGTTTTGCTCTCTCAACGGTGTTGTATCATTGTGCAATGATGCCAATATTGTTCTGTGAAAGTCGGGCCGCCTGTGTAAGCCGTTCGACTAGTGTGCCAATCAGTGCATGGAATCAGTGCATGGCATCTGCCACATCTGTCATGCCTAGACGGAATCCCCGTCCAGTAGAAAATGGAGCTGGCAACCAAAAGGAGCATCTTCTCAAAATTGCGGATGGCGGAGGCACAGCAAAGCGTTGAAGGTGTCTGTGAAGCCCGATTTGGTAACTGAACCCAATGACACAGAGTTGCGGAATTGGTGGAGGCCGACTTTGAAAGCGATGTCGAACGCTGTCAGAGGCACGACTAACGAATGCGCCTCATACGGTCTTCCGAGCACCCCAATGTGCACTCACCCATCTGACGCCTTTCATCTGTCTTGCATCCCCTTCTTGGCATCGCTGCTGCAGGCACGTCATGGCTTTCATTTAAATTACATCTAAACCCCCCGAAACCCGTCCAATGCGCTGCACCTGCTGAACACAGAATTTGTCCAACGTGGCTTAAGCCTTAAACCTTTGCAATCGCAGCTTGTAAGTTCATATTGTGCTGAAACCTCGATGTTTTCGAGCCTGTGTCGGCAGAACCTCTGCAATACCTACATGCCTACATGACGTAGAAGCCTCTCACAACATTGTTCGAACTTGTGCCGCGAAACGATGCACTTGCTTGTGGGGCGCGCGCGATCCAGCATGTCGAACACGGGAACGAGCAAGCGAGGGTTCTGAGTCTCCTGGCAACCGAGCCAAGGCTTCTTGGTTTTGAGAGTCTGCCCGCCAGGCCTTGTAGAGACGCACAACAGCTTCGCCAAAGCCTGGAAGCAACGGTTCCTTGCCCCTGCTTGTCCTTGGTGGTGCAAAGCTACCTCCCGCAGGCGCTCGTTTCCGGACAGCATCTTGTCTGGCTTGTGGATTCAGCGAGAACAAACATGTCCGTATACTTCGAACTTGTCGGTCAACTCGCTGAGCTTGTCGATGTATGATGTGCAAGGCATTGCGTAGGGCTAAAGAGCCGACATCATGATGTTGAGCATCTTGAGGACCAGCGCCTCTGTCTGTGGAGTCGCCTCGGGAACCGACGGCGGACTCTCTGCTTCCCAGAAAGGCGGGAATGCCGGGAAAGAGTGCCAAGCCTTCTGCACGAGAACTAGCAGCTCCTGTGATGCATGTGCCAATCCAGCAAACCGTCACACAAGTGGGTTTGCCGCCCGCCTGCTCACCCACTGGAATGTACCTGACAGCCTGCGGACAAGCCAAATCGGTTCCGTAGCCGATCCGGGCAAAATGCCAGGACAACCTCCTCGATGGAATTGATCAAGTGATCTTTCATCGCGGCATCGCATTGGATGAAGGTCTCGACGAGCCCGTGCATCAAGATTGGCCTGGGAAAAAGCACATGCGTGGTACAGAGCCAGACCAAACCAAAGCCGGGATCAAAGCCTCTTGATGCAAAGTGCCAGGTAGAGCCAAACCCTGTCTTTGGGTGCGCAGATTGCACCTGCCCCACGCTCGAGTCGGAATCATCCGAAGAGCTGAAAAAGCTGTGACCACCTTTGAAGAGATCCGCACCTTCAAGCTCAGAAGCGCGGAGTTTTGCAAGCTCTGAGCCTACTCTAAGCTCCGAGCGTGTTTGCTCCAAGCGGAAGGGGATGCCGAGCTTGTGCCGGAAGTCGCCCTCTTTACCCTCGCGGGCTGCAGCGGAGCCTCACTATGCCGTGCATGCCGGAAGCACTTGTGATTCCTGCGTCGCGGTGAGAAATGTGAGGCCCAATCGCAGCATGATGGTTGCAACATCCTCGATGCATCGCCCACGAAGCCTGGCAAGGAAATCAGGGAAATCCAAAACTGCTTTGCAAAGGGCAAAAGATCAAGCTGCGCTCCAGCAGACCTCTGCAGTGGTAAAAAGTCAGGGTCTGACAAGTCCCAGCTGGACCCGTCAGCAGTCCCCTGAGAAGAGGCAGAGGGAAACGGAAAGCAATAATGCCAATGCAGGGATGTATGGATGTCGGGCTATGATGCAATATGTTCAGCCATACACATGCCAGAAGCAAGAGGAAGAACTTGTGTCGTTCCATCGATGCAAATCGAGACGACATCTCATCTGGCTTCGTGGGTGTTGAGTAGACCGGGAAACCCTGGCCGGGCCTGCTTGAAGCTCAAGCGTCGCATATATGGCATGTGCGTATGGAGCTACGTACACTGGGGCAGGGGATGGGCAGAGGGGTTGGTATCAAAATCTCGCGCCGCTGGGCCGCAGGGATGGTGTCGGGGGATGTTGGGGGTCAGGGGGTGTGGGCATGGGCAAAAGGAGTTCTGACTCAACAAGACAAAGGAGAGGTCAGGGGCACGAGGTGGCAGGGGCTTGTTAGCGGGTGTGGGACTGGGTTGTTGAGGGGGTGGAGCTCGTTGCGGACTGTGGCGTCATCTGCGGCGGCAGTGTGAGTCTATGTCCCACCTCTTCGTATCGACATCCGGCCGTTCTAAGGGGTTTAGCAATTTCGCAAAACCCAACATCTTTCGCAGCAGTGCCACGCATCACGCATGTTTTGGCTTTCGCAGTGCATTCTCACCGTGTCTGCCCGCCACGGTGCAGTACAGATTTTGCTTGCGACTCCCATCCTTGCGCCTCTGGGTCCGGCTCGTGCTCATTGGGTGGTGTTGTAAGGCTTGGGCTACTGCATGAAAAAGAAGAGGCCAGGAAAAACGGTTCCCGAACATGTTGTCCAAAAGAACCATTCTCCCATCGCCAGGCCTCACCGTCTGTCATGAGTAGCAGCGCCTCTTCATCGGCCAGGTGAGGGAGCTGCCAGCCTTTGCAGGAAGAGAATGACAAGACCGGGCTGAGGCCTTGTGCCAGGTGACGCATGGCAGCCCTCGGTGCAACATAGATCTTGTTGATGATCAGGCGAATGGTGTCGAAACGAACCGAATCCTGGAAAGCAAAGAGCGGGCCAGGGCGGCTGCCGATATGCTCCGCTTAAAGGCGCCGCCTCCCCGGAGGAGAAGGCCAACTTCAGGAGCAGCTGAAGCCCACGCCAGCGGCAGGCAGGCTTGCCTGTGTCTTAGCAGAATGCTCTCTGCCGCTCTCTGCCGCGGTGCTGCAGGCCTTCGATTAATGCCAGAATGGTCAGCAACGCCATCTTTCGAGCCTGAACCATCCAATCCAATGACACTAAACCCGCGCAAAGTGCGCCCCGTGAGGTACCAACTGATGCCAGCTGGCATTGCGCTTCAAGCGCGCGGAAGGCGGAAACAGGCACCGCAGGGAGCTCACCGAGGAAATTTCTCAACTCACGCCTGGCACATGCGCACTGCGTCGACTTTATGCCCGTGTACATGCCTTCATGCCTGCTTCATTTGAGCAGGCGGCCTGGGAACGTCTCGTTTTTCGAATTCAGCCAGGCACATGTCGAAGAGCTCCTGTCGGCCCGGAACTGCAAACACAAATGGAGCCAGCATGCCCTCCCGGACCGTGGGATAGCACAATTCTTGAGCCCCGCTCCGCGTAGGTGAAGCTGGTCCCTGCAAGACGCCTGGAAGATCCACCCGCCTCCAAGACAGCCAGTCACTGCGTATATCTGCGTATGTTCATTGAACACTTGCTGGTGCCTCCAAGATTTCACGGAGAGGTGCGCTTGTTCCGACTGCGGACTCCTTGTCGCGTGCAAGAACGCATAAACTGCCGGTATTCTCATGATGGATCTATGTGGAGCCTGGAACCGGGCAACATCCGCGGAAAACTTCGCGTAAAACAGCTCTACGAGCTGATCCATGGCCGCTGATGCGCCCACCTTGTGCAGTCAGGAAACATGTCCATTTTTTCACTGCTGACACACATCTGCCTTGTTCGCTGATTGCAGGGACGCCTGTCAGGGCTAGGTTCTCTCTGATCTCTCTGGCTCAGGCGGCTCTGGTATAAGGCCTTCAATGAGTCGAAGGTACGCAGCACATAGGCCTGACACCTGCTGAACAAGACGAGACAGCATTGTACAGCCTGCATAATTCAACAGCAATCTCAGCTGCCAGCATAGAACGCTGCAAATCTGGTTGCAAGGCTGTCCTACACGTCACAGCGCGAAACGTAGAAGCCGAAACTGCCGAGTTGCCCCCCGGAATCCCAAACTCACAGCGCCGCTGTTTGCAGAGTCAAGAGCGTCCTTGGACCTGCTGCAAGGTGCAAGGCAACCTGCACGAGGCGTGGCGCGCGCTCATGTGCCGACTTTTCAATAGGTCTCGCACAAAGGCACTCTTAACCGTCTGAGCATTCAGTCATGCCAAACTCGCAGCTCAGTCTGTGGTGGGTGAACAAGTGGGTTCTGATTCTTCAACCAAACTGACTGCTGGCAGTTTCTTTACCGCCGCTGAGGTTATTCCTCGCCCGACGCTGTAGCTGCAGTGCAGCCAAAAAGCTTAACTAAGCTTGGACCCGAGTAGAGAATTGCCTGTGTCACACTTGCTGTGCAGACGGCTGTCTTGCCGGCTAGAAACGTGCTTGGTGGCGCTGGTGTTCGTCTGGCTGCCTTGTCGTCGCTCCGACCTGCGGCCATGTCGGCCTGATGAGGTTTGCCTCTCACAGTCGGCGGCGTGGCCCCTGGAGACCGAGTGGCATTCGGACAGGCATACGGGCCTGTCCGAATCGACCAGAAGCGAGAGAGAAGAAGGCCTCGCCGTGGATCGCGGGAATCTACGGCTCCAGGCAATCCCATTTCATTGTCAATGGGACGATCGCGGCTGAGTTCGACTTCTCCAAGCGGCCACGCTACCCACATGCCCGGTGTTGTTTGTGGCTTTGTGAGATTTTGTGAGTCAATGCTTCGTGAGGTTGTGCCAGCGGCATGCCAGCTCAAGCCTCCTCCTCACCTGCGCTCCCTATCTCTTCTTCATCTCAGCCAAAGGGAAGGTGTGACCCCTCCGCGCACGCATGCGCCGTGGTTGTCCGAGTCTTGGTGACGCTTACAGTTGGATGAGGCACGGTTGGGTAGCTGTAGTGACCCCCCTGAGCTTACAACACTAATAACAAACCCGGGAGCTCTCTCTCTCTTTTTCTCTCCCCTTTGCTCGTTCAGTACTGGCTGCTCAGCTCGTGCGGCGACTCAGTGATGCTTCACACGCCTATTGTGCGCCTTGTCTAAATCATGTCTCACTTTTTTGAACAGCCTTCTAGCAAAATCATGATGATATAGATGCTGTCCAATGATATTTCGCTTTGAAAAGCCTCTTGATTTGGGCCCTCTCGGCCGGTTGCACGAAAGTTTTGCTGGATAGCAAGGATCTGTGTTCCGAGTGACTCCATGACTCCAACGTAACCCCAGGTGAAATCGTCACGAGTCAATGAACAGCGGCCTGTCGGCTGACTTGCTCATAAGCGGCGAGCTGCGATGGCAGCAGACAGCATTTTAGAAGCGACGTGTCCATTCCTTACCCAAGGTTTCAGCATCAATCTTTTGGTAATGGCACTGAACGCCACAAAAGCATAAGCGCACGACTGCTCCAGCTGGCTAAAACCTCCTCATACAGCTTCAACTGCAATGCCTCGGTGCTTAAGTGCCAATCACGGCGGCCACGAACCATCGGCCGATGCACTAAGACAGCCGCATCCTTTGCACGGCCGTCTTTCGGAAGTTGCACCGTCCCAATTTCCATCGGAACAAGGTGTGAGGCATCGCTCCCGTCAACACCCGAACGGTCCACAGGTAGTGCTGCCCTCGGATCGCGTGCGCCAGGCTCTTCCGGCTTGTCAGGTTCAATCGGGGAGGCCACCTTGCCATCTATGAGCAGAGACAATTGCTCTTGAAACGCGTCCGGCTCCGATGCCCCGTTTGAACCGTGCCCGGGAACAGGATCGGAAAATGCAACGGCATTTTCATGAGCACGTTCTCGATGAAGGCTACGCTGCACCGACAGCGAGCTTAAGGACGTAAGTGCTATCCGAGCGAGCTCAGCCTCCACGAGGACATGCTTTTGATTCAACCGAGGACAGTGACAATGTGCCCCTACACCGAATGCGAGACAAACAACCTGGAAGACATTTACCCCTTTTTGTCCCTGTGTCACCCCGGTGCCTGACTGCTGATTTTGGTCGCAAGCACTGCCGGCCCAGGAACATGTCCAGCTGGTTCTCGCTGACTTGGCAACCCGAAATAGTCTTCCAAACGCCTGCAAGTTGACTCCGCTTCACCAGACAGCAAGGCATCGGCATCAAAGATCACATCTTCTGCTGTTGTCCCGTCACCGCATTGCCAGGTCCAAACCTGGGTCGTCTGTTCTCTAACAACTCTCTCGACCTACAGCTAGCAAGATTTAACAAGGCTAACACCTCAGCGACGCGCAAACATGTGCTACACACGCAGACATGCTGAGGCCTTGATGCGTGAATCACCTGGCCATCATCCAAACCGGAACCTAGACCATCTAGCAAAGCGCCCGATTTTCAACGTCATCATCAGCATGATCACCATCATGGCGTTCCTCGTGATCACCATCCTCATCATCAGGAGGTGTGGCTTTGCAGAAGAACGTAGTCATTCCCCGCCCACCCATCTTGCCCCGAAGAACCTGAGAAACCCAAGTCCAATGAGAAGTCCGAAATTGCCCTCGAAACACCAAGAGCAAACAACAATGTGGGACATCATGGGACAAGGCATAAGCGGCAGTGGACCCACAAAACGCTGCACATACCGATTTGTTCTTAATGCCTTGGGTGCTAACCGGCGTCTGGTGGGCAAAGACTGCTCTGTTCCCAAAAAACACTAACACATGCACGTTATCATGGTTCGGCCAAGGATGCTCTTGGCTCCAAACGCAGTGGACAAGTCACGTCATTTGCCTTTGTGCATGAATGCTGTGAGCTCAAACTGCACCAGGCCAGGGACGTCATTAGCTTTTGCCATGGATGCTCTATTGTCAAAGGCACTTTGTTGAACAGGACTGCTGGTCTTTTGACATGAAACCAAAATAAAAAACACAGCGAGAAAATAACCAAACCACTGGACGATTCAGCACATTTCAATTGCTACACCAAAACACTCTGTAACGCACTGCGTTCGTGAACAAACCAGTGTCAAAAATAATAGGTCTTCCTCCCGCACCGGGAGGGTGAAGGGGTAGTGGTACAAGTAGCGGGTATAGCGGTAGCAGCAGCAAAAGCAGTAGCAACATACCACTACTGCTGCTACTACTACTACTACTACTGCTACTATTACTACTTCTCCTACTACTACTGTTACTATCACTACCACTACCACTCCACGACCGCTACTACTACTACCACTACTACTACTACTACTACTACTACTACCAGTACTACTAGTACTACTACTACTACTACTACTACCAGTACTACCAGTACTACCAGTACTACTAGTACTACTAGTACTACTA